TGGCCCCATTTTATAGTGATCTTGAATAATTGTGAATTCTGCAATTTTACATTTGATTTCCTCCACATGTTATACATAGTTGTACACATCATTTCTATGTTTCAAACTGCACTTAGAATATATAAGCAAAGTATTTTCCGTTGGTGCTTTAATTTACTGGAAGTAATTAGGGTACAATAATAAAAAAGCTAAGTTTTTGCGTTTGTCTCACGATGTAGTCACGTGTGATGTAGATCGCGACGTTTCGACTGCATACTGCTAGTGTTCTTCAGGCGATGAGGTCGACTGGTCATGCGTAATCTTATAAAGCATGATGAAAAAGACTAGCAGTATGCAGTCGAAACGTCGTGATCTACATCACACGAGACTATATCGCGAGACAAACGAAAAACTTAGCTTTTATTGTTATTTACCACGATGAATAACCACAACCTTTTTAACGTAATTATGGTATGCTATTATATTTAATAAGTATATTTATATATATAATGAAATAGCATATAATCTATACAACCATTACAATTTTAGATGGACTATGAAAAATATCCTGATTTTTTAGATGATAGGCTTAATTTATATTTTTTTATTGTATCAGTTCAAAATAAGTTTCTTAGTCACTCGCTTTCAGAGCACAATATGTGAATTGATAGCTTTTTGTGTGGTGTATTTTAACTACAATAGCTAGTTATAGTCTGTGTATTTTAGTGATAAAAATTCTATTACACATTACACGATTGAGATTATATGAATCATACACTGATGAAAGAGAAACAGTTTTAATAAAGTATGACATTTAATAATTTGTAACAATTGGACATCTCTTTTTTAATTATGTATGGGCCTCAAATAGGACAAGTCCCGATATCCTCAGTTTCATTGTGGGTTTGCTTCATCTAGGGAAGCAATTGAATTCTGAACTCAATTATTTCGTCAATGCAATTTCAAACATTTTGTAATCACTTGCATGTGTCTTTTTCTAAGTCGCCTTTAGAAGTAGAAGTTTTGGTCAACTAAAGACGAGATTACGAGATTTAGGAGAATTCTTAAAGTCCATGAAATGGTTATTAAGGCTTGCTTTCATGTGATCTTAAGTTGTTCATGGATGGTTCATAAGGAGACTTTCATCTGCTCCTGAAAGCTAAACTAAAGGTTCATTTCAGAACTTTCGTACATCACTAAGAAATGACTGAAATGTTTCTAATGTTAGTCTTTAACTTACCTTTCAGGCAACTTAACTGAACTATTTTATCTTGTGTTATTAAATTAACACTGAACGTATAGCGATGTATGCAGCATTACAGAAAGTGTCACCCCTTCCAAATGGATATCACTAGCAAAATAACTTTAGGAAGACCGATAAATATTCTCGTAGCTACATGTACATCATGTGTTCTTTCTCCATCTTCTGCTCCTTATCTCCTGCTTCACTTTCTCTCGCCGAAAATAAAGGGCAGCTGGTTTAACCAACTTTGACGAGCCATGCACGATTTCGTTCAAACTCTCTCAATTTTGAAAATACGACATTGTAAATACGCACATGATGAACACAAACTTACACACAACAAATCCAAAATAACTATCAAAGTGACCTTATTCTTTTCTTCCTTGGCTTTCATAATCCCAGAATTGTTTAAAGCATTACCCAAAGATGTAGTTCGATCTTTTCTCAGAGGAAACAAAAACTAGGGAATCAGATACTAAGTTCACAGATGAGTTTGTTATGTCTTGTATTTCTTGCTAGATTTTGCTGGCAATGGGATATGAACGGGGAGGAAGAGGGTGAAGTGCCGCTTTTGTCGGAAACCCTGAAAACAACTTACAGCATTGCCCGGTCTGTATTCCACTCACTAATTTGTAACCGTCAAGGTTCCTTTTTTGTTTCAGTGCGCCTTCAGAGGCATGATTCCAGACAATCACTGATAATAATCAGCGATTGTTACTGATCACGGTTGACGAGATGAAACTTAAGAGTTGCCATCCAATTTAGCTTAATATCCCATCTGAGAAAGAGAAAAAATTGAGCCCGTACTGATAGACCCTATTTTATCAGCGTCTGATACCATCGGAGTGTATATATTTAACATAAAGACTATGTGCAGAATGTATTCCAGACAACCGCTATTTTTAAGACTGTTTCATATATTTTTGTTTTAACATTCAACCTACGTTTCTAATAGCATAGATGCACAGGGGCTATAAAACCAATAGAAATCCTATTCTTTTATAGCCTATCCTGATTTCGATGAAACTTATCCCCTTCTTTCTTAAAAAGTAGCGAACGAAGCATGTAAGTACCACTATAAATTTGCTATTGAAGCTTGGAGACTTCAATAAACGATACCACACGGATCATTTATATCCAGTGCTCCTCTACACCATCCTGACCAAGTATCCACGATACATCACGATGCTCCATATCCTGTTTACGCAGCGCAATAAATCAATCAATAAACTTTATTTAACTGTCTAAAACTTCTAGTCAGCCCGGAAGCCGACTAATCGGGGACACTCGCAATAAAATTACAAATAAATTAAGTTAAGTTAAGTTAATTAAGTTAAAATTAGCTATCACTTGTTACAATATATATATATATATATATATATATACATATATACAGATCTAAAATTCCATTTACATTTTAAAATACGGACTAAAATATAATAAATTCTACCTATACAACTATATACAAACTTCAAATACGTCTAAAATTCTAAACACACTTCGGACAATTCCCTGTACAGACGTAATTTGAAACTAGGTTCGCGAGGTCTTTTGTACGGATGTTTGAGACGAATGATGTCAGAGTTAGCATTTGTCTGTCGCTATGTCCAAGTTTTGACAACAAATATGGTCCGAAATATCTTAGCTCTTTGTCGATGGTGACGCCCAGTAATTTAAGTTCTTCAGTAGTATTGATAGTGTGGCCATTGATGTCGACAGATGTTAGGGATGGCTCGTGTTTCTTGCCGATTACCATGGCTTGGTATTTGCTTATTTCCCACCACGTGATTTTCCTGGTACCATGATGACATTTGGCCCCCTTCGCTCCTAATTGTGTCCATTAGGTCCTTGACATTACTATGCGCGTAATAAAGTTGATGGTCGACGGCGTACATTGATAGAATTGACGCACGACTCAGGTAAAAGAGATCATTCTGGCAGATATTCCAGAGTAACGGGCCCAAATTGGATTCTTGGGGACAGCCCATTTTTATTTCTTTCCATTCACTAACCGCAGTTCCTAATTTAGTTCTTCCTTTAAGTTCTTCAAAGAATGAGTGCATCAGTGATAAGGCCCCTTCCGAGGAGCCGTCAGGCTTTAGTTTAACCAGCAGCAAGGTGAGATGCATCGTATCAAAGGCCTTGCTCATATCAGTTGATAATACGCCGACAGATTTACCGTGGTCAATTGCATGTCTCTAGTCTTCGACCAAACGAACCAATGTGGTCTGACAGCTGTACATTTTACGGTACGCTGACATGAAGAGGTCAAAAATCGTTTCAAGATTTTTTGGCATCTGTTTACTTTGAAGCTGCTCAAATATTTTGTCAACCACTGTTAATACAGTTATGGGTCTATAGTTGGTCTTCTCCAGGGGGTCCTCTTTCTTGAAAACTGGATCCATTCTCCCTCTTACTAGATATTTGGCGATGTCTTCTCTGTGATACATTGATTAAAAATTGTTGTCAGTGGGTCTGCAAGTTCTTGTGCCGCTATTTTCAAAGCGCGTGACGGTATCATGTTAAAACCAATGGCTTTGTTGGTATTCAAATTCTTGAGACTTAAAAAAGTTTCCTCTTTCGTGATTTTCCTGAAAATAAGGAGTTAGAGTTCCATCTACTGCGTATGGCGGGGACGCTTGGGTGTCTATCGCATTCTTCTGTTGTGAGATTCATTGCAGGGCCGTTATCAAAACTGCCCTTTCACCTAAAGTGGAAAAATAGTCAGCAAATTGCTCGGCTACTGATCGTTGATCTTGTAATAGAGTTCCCTGGATGTTGAGTGTGATATCAATTTTATCTTTGACCTTTTTGTTGTTGAGAAAAGGCGTGAAAGTCCTGTAGAACGTCCGTACGTCATGCAGCAAGTCAACTTTCTTCTCTCCTGTATCAACCGTGAGCTATTCTAGGAGCAGTAAACTCCTACTGGATATAGATTGTGTGACACTGTAGGCGAAACGATTGACGGGACAGACACCGGAAATTATATTCTTTGTTCTTCATTACCGGTTAAACAAACCCCTTAATTTCTTGTCTTGAGCTGTACTTTAAACCTTTCCTGAACCACTAACAGACCGCGTTTAGCTCTAAAATACACATTTTATTAGGTACTACAGCATCCGCGGGACTGCCTGATGTCTTTAGTACTGTAACCATCACTCGGTTCAGCATTTCTAAGATGCGGTCAGATGTTGATAGTGCCTTCTGTCTACATAGCTCGACAACTGTGCCATGTGACCCCTCTTCGTTAAACAAGTTGTCTCAGAACACAAGCATAAACATTTACTCACGAAACTATAAAAAATATCATAACACCAATGAATTTAAATTTTTTCGACACGATAAATAACTATAACGGAGCAGTGAAAAGGCCAGGACAAAACCAGTTCTAAATCCTGAACATATCCAAGAATGGGAACAGTCCATCAGAGGCTATGAATAACACAAGGAAAATAAACAGCTTTACACTTCAGCAATTACAAACTTGATCTATGAGATAACCCTCTTGATAAAGATGCATTACGTAAATTACGGGAATTTTTTAAGAATATTGGATAAGTTTGTCCTAACTTTCAACTTATATTTCTTATAACAAAAAGATGCACAGGGCCATGAAATTTTCAAAGACTATCAGTTAGCTCAGTTAAATTTATCCTTCGTCTCTAGTGCAAAGCTTCATTCTGCCGAAGGGCTAATGCTCGAAACGTT